AAGTGATTTTTCTCTTTCATAATTATTTATATATAAATTAAAATATTTTTAAAGATCTTCTGAGGATATTCCTTCTATAGGATTTCTTGGTGCGGATGTACCACTATCATTTCGATCTTTTTCGTCTTTTGCAGTTTGTTCAATAACCATAAAAGATGTTCCAAATCTTTTAATAAAACTTTTTATTTTTATTTTTAAGAGGAATTTCTTTTATTTCTCTTTAACTCTTTAGATATTTCAGTAATCATGATATTTTGATTTATACAAATATTTAAAGTTTCTTTACTCACGTCCATTAGACTATTTAATAGTCCTGTGGTTTCAGTTTTATTATTACCGTGATGAAGATGTATAAAAATTTTTATATCGATTATATCTTGCATTAAATATTGAATTTTCATGTTTAATTTTTTTTTTCTAGATTCGATTTCTAAGCTCTGATCCTGAGATTGAGGGTCTCATAGTGTTTTATAAGTAAAACCTAAATTTTTCAAAAATATTATAAACTTGAAAGATTAACTTATAAAAATATTCTAAATTTTAGGGTGACTTTGTAAATTATGAAAGTTTGAGATTAGTGGAAAGATGAGTAGGATTGTTTGGTTAATGAAAAGATGGTGTAGATGAGGAGGTGGAGTACACCTAATTAAGGATCTCTTTAGAACTCATAAATTATAAATCTCAATCGTTATTCAAACTTTATTATTAAACTTTAGTTGTTTTATAAAATTGTATTTTTACGATTTTGTGAATTCAAAACGCTTAATAGTAAAACGCGACATCAATCTTAATGTTGCTTGTGAAACGACATGAATTTAAGAAATCAATTTATAACTGTTTGGGTTTGAAAATTATGTTTTAAAACAATTTACATTTAGTAAAAACTTTGCTAGAAATGTTTGAAAATTGTTTCAACACAACTTACATTTGGTTAAAAATTCTAGAATCGTTTTATGATATTACTCGAGAAGAATCTAGCGTTTCAAGTAGGGGTGCAATTTGAGTAAACCCAACTTAAGTAGAAATAAAACATTTAACTTTATTCCTCAACGATGTGTTTACACTACAAAAAATTAAAATTTTAGAGACTAAAATTTAGGGACCAAATATTTTTGTTTTGAAAAGTGTCATTATTATATTTTTAACAATGAAAATTAGATATTAGTGATGAATTATTATCCTCTTGGGATCAAATTTTTTTCTTAAAAAATAAACTATTTTGAGACCAAATTATTTTGTCCCTAAAAGTCTATTTATTAGTGACATTTTCAAAATTGTCCCTAAAAGCTTTGTTTTTGACTTTTCGAGACGACCTTTTAGCGACTATCCTCATGACGATGGAAATTAGTCCCTAAATATCTTTTGTAACAAAATTTTCACTTTTAGAGACAAACATTTGGTCTCTAAAACTCTTATATATGTTGTGTTAGTTTATAGATTTGGGTAGAGATTTAGAAAGAAAAATGAAAAATGTAAGTAAAATATGAATAAAATATAATTACATTTCACATATCTTTTTTTATCTTCTATTTCCAAATCTCTTCTCAAATTCATAAACCAAATAGAACCTAAGAGTTCATGACCTACTGTAATGACAAGTGTTATCAGCAATACTAAGAATAAATAAACCAATTCCTACCCCTTATGAAACATTTGTGTATCATTCTGTGTTTGATCTTCTATGCACTTAGATTTATTGCAAGTGTTATTCATTGTGCTATTCACAAAGATGAGGGTTACTCCACCCAAAAAATTTAAAAGAATTACACTGCTTACCTACGATCTCTCTCAAACCCTATGATCTCTTCCAGACTATTGTAAACCCTACAATCTCTTTCAGAATATTGTGATCTCTCCCAAACCCCTCTTGCGAGGACCTTAGCTTGTGCACCAAACTTTTGCTAGATATTTCGTCATCAACGCTGCTACAGGCCCGAATAGTTCAAGCTCGAATTTGTCCCGAATCCAAAACGACGTCGTTTTAGATTATCTTATCGGTAAGAGAATTGTAATATATCTTACCGGTAAGAGAATTTTATTACATGTTACCGGTAAGAGAATCCAAAACGACGTCGTTTTGAGTTTCAAGCCAATTTCGAGCAAAACAATTTCGGGCCCTCAAACATTTTTCTTTCGTCAAATTGTGCTGTACTTTAGCATAAAAGATAGAATAATTGTAGATGAATTTGAAAGAATAATTATTAAAGTTTAATTTTAATATGAACCCTGACACAGAATTAGAGATACTCTTAACCAAATGAAAAATTTTAGACAGAAGACTTGGACCTTACGTAACATATCAAAATTGACATATCAATAACCAACCCTATGATCTCTTCCAGACTATTGTGATCTCTCCCAAACCCCTCTTGCGAGGACCTTAGCTTGTGCACCAAACTTTGCTAGATATGTCGTCAAATTGTGCTGTACTTTAGCATAAAAGATAGAATAATTGTAGATGAATTTGAAAGAATAATTATTAAAGTTTAATTTTAATATGAACCCTGACACAGAATTAGAGATACTCTTAACCAAAATGAAAATTTTTAGACAGAAGACTTGGACCTTATGTAACATATCAAAATTGACATGTCAATGACCAAGATAACAACTGTGATTGGCCATAAAGCATGTCCACCCTTGGGCCATGTTTGTTTTGGGGAAACGGCTTTTGAATTGAATTAAAAATCTAACAAAATATATAATCTTTTATTTAGTTAAAAAATTTAGACTAGATTAATAATACACCCGAACATGACATATGGGAGACCAAAGAAATCTCAAGAGAGGAGAGGGATACAAAATGAGAGCTAAACGCGAGGTTGGACATACTGAGTTACAAAATTAATAGAATTTTATAGATCCCTTCTCATAATTCTAAGCCAATCCAGATATGGATACGATACACAATCCATAGAGACTGACAATGAATGTTAATTTTATCTAATCTAATCCGCCTAAACAAACATGGTCATAAGATCTACATGAAGGCCAAGAGAAATCATATTATTAATCAAATTCCAAGGAAGCACAAAAGATTTTCAACTCTTGAAACATATGCCCAAGGTATTTCTGCAGGAGATAACAGCATCCTATACTAAAAAAAAAGATAGGTAAAGATTTATGAGTCTGAATCCTCTAGAGTGATTTTTTTTCCGAATGATCTTAAAGTGTTTTTTTATATAGTTGAGATTTAATTCTATAAAAGTTGAAAGTACAATAGTATTGATAGTCACCTTAAAAAATAGTATCAGTTATATAAAAAATCACTCTACAGCAAGGACATATATATTGTGAAAATATCATGATGACAAAAATATTCCAGCAGAGAGAACCAACCCATTGTAACTTAAATCTACCCTCTACTCATATAATGTGGGTGTTTGGAGAGTTATTTTAGTAGACTATTTTAATTTTTAGCTATTTTAGTAGGCTAGAATTTTTATGTTTGAAAAGATGATTAAATTTTTTTGTAGTTGGACGTGATGTTTGTGAGAGAAAAAATGAAATGATTATGAATTTGATGTGGCATTTTGTCTTATTAACTATTTTAATCTATTTTATCTTTTTGTAAATTTTAACCTAAACTAAGTTAAAATTTTTCTTGCCAAACACCCCCAATACCTCAGTTGATAAACCATGCCATCTCTGCAAAACAATAATGCCTACATAATAAAATCATTGTTGCAACAGCACGAGACAACATTTCACTCTCAATTGCCAAAAAGTCTCATCGGTATGCTCTTTCAACAATAGTAGTAAATAAATAGTAAACACCAATGCTATGTTACCTAGAAAAGAATACCCAGAATTAATATACAGAAAAGTGCTGAGAATTTGAAAATTTTGCAAGATGAAATTTATCTCGAACGAGGTCACACTACCAAGTTGAAATCTTTTATTATTATTATTATTATTTTGGATCAGCCCACCAAGTTTAAATCTATACTATACTTCAAATTCCCGACACTTTTTCGAGTACTTTTGGGGGGAAAAAAAAATAGTAGCTGTGTACTGACTATCAACAACAATTGATTCACTAGAAGAGGTTTAATAAAAGAATGATAAATTGTCCCGGTTTAACACATGTAAATATGATTTGAACTTTTCAATCCTGGAACCAATGAAAATCTAATGCTGTGTTTGATTGAAAGATTTGAGTAGGGATTTGGAAAGGAAAATGGAAAAAGTGTGTGAAACTATGTGAAATATAGGCATACTTTATTCACATTTCACCTACTTTTTTCATTTTCCTTTCTAAATCCCTCCCCAAATTCCCCATCCGAACACAGCATAAAAGAACACTAAATGGGATGCCAAGGACAGAAATATATCAAAATGGGATGATTTTTGAAGCAAGATATATATTTGAAGAAATCTGGATGGTTTTCAGTCACAGATTTATCAAAATGGGATGCAAAGGACAGAAATCTATAGAAGGCAAACTATAATGAAGCTATCATGTTGATACTATACATAATTAACCATATCTTGAATGCTACTTATGTCTGCCTATTCTTTTGATCAGAAGGGCATCTAATACCTACCTTTTTAGTATGACTTTATTTTATTTTTATTTTTATTGGCAACAAAATAAGAACATAAATTAAAAGGTAGTATAACAATGGGAGACCAATGACTCCTAGATGAACAGAAGAAAGAACCTCGCCACAAATCACACAACGCCCTCCAATGAGTCCTAGGTGTGAATTTTTATTTTTTTATTTTTATTTATCAAAAAAACAAAAAAAAAAATACACTGCCCTCCAATCTTTAGAAATAAAAACAGTGGTATCTCTCTAAAAGAAGATACCAAGACCCCAAAAAAGGCCAAATAAATTCTGATTTTTCAAATCTTGTTTTAAGGAGTGTCCCATTTATCGAAGAATAAAAATTCCCCAAACCGGCGACTTCTCCTTATTAATAAAATTGGCCGCCTCAATCTTATTGGCTCAGAAAAAAAATATAAATGAATAAATGAAAATGATGTACAAGATACCTGCAGTTAGCCCCAGATTGCCAGAATACATTATTGCCGAGTAGAGCTCAGTATCAGTATATATATACTCTCAATGTCACCCAATCAGGTGCATCTGCCTATTACACAACCTTAAAGAAGTAGCCTTCATCAAAACATGCGCATCAACGCACGCACCACACATCTTCACAAACTTCAACTTGAGACTTGCCAAACATTTTTAACAAAATGACATCCTTCTCTTATCTAACTTAGACAAAAATTCAAATTCTGGAAAGGTTCTGTTCAATTGTGATATTACAGATGCCAGTATTCAGAAATCAGAAACATATGACCTCATCATGTGACATCTCTACAATCACCCATCCTAACCCTGGCCATTGGAACTAACCTCCAAACAGAGTCGCCATTTACATTTGCACATAAAGCCTGAAACCACAAAATGACAAAAAAATTAAAAAAAAATGTCAAAATGGCAAGAAAAAAACACTTCTGTCAGTGTCATTGAAATGAAGAGCAGCAACAATTTTTTTCATGCAAGAAAATAATTGAGAAACAGATAAAATTACATATAGAATCCAATACAAATATGACATCGAAATTGTAGTAGCACTGCCTTTGAGGAGTCCGTCTTAACTCACTGGTTGTCACTCATCAATGAATAGTCAATAAGCTCTATATGGGAACCCCATCAAAGATAACCATAGAATTTGATTTTCTGAAGGGCCATGAATCGTCTTCATTCAACGATTGCCTCATAGCTCAATGTCTTCTTTAAGTAGTTCATTCCCAAGTTGTCCCAAGATTATTCTCTACAGCGGAAAGTAAATGAAATTGTGATCCTTCATTGAACTGTCAGTTACATTCCTTTAATAACTTGCAAGGTTGGTCTGTGTTTCAAAATCCATAGCCAGATTGAAACATTCTCTATGCACACTAAGTGAGTGGGTATTGCAGCATGTACAACACATTCACTTATTGAAGCTTCAATTGATTCAATATCCTGGTTCTTCCTCAAAGCTGGTTTAGACTTATCTGAACAACTTAAATTGGCTACATAAATTCTCATTTGAAAAAAAAAAAAAAATTCCTAGTTCTTCCTTCTATAGGGCCATATATTCTATATAACAATGGCCACGTAATCATTTTCTCCCACCTCAACCCATATTTTTTAACTCCTCTCCTCACCATTGTAGTACTTTCAACATAAACCATATAACCCCCTCACTGTGGTCATCAGTTTTTAATACATGGAAACAGAACATCCAAAAAACTCTCGTCTTACCACCTACTCCCTGTATGATTGACAAATATAAGAAAAGAACTCCTGATGCCACCCCTCGCTTGTAGATATCATACTAGCACTTTCATCCCTGTACTACAAGCCTACAACAGCTTCCCCTCATACAAACATCACACTTTGCCAAAATTTGATGATTTTTTTACCAATAATTAAGACCGAGCGTATTTGAAATAGGGCTAGCCGGTTCAGCTTGATGACAATCTTGCATCCGCATCTGGACCATAAACCAAGAAGAAATCATTCATTAACACTCATCATAACCATGATGCATGACAAAGTCCTAAGCAGTCTTACAGAACTCCAATTCAACTATATTGGTAACTGTTGATCAAACAGTGTCCATCACCTATTCTATAGCATGCATCACATCCTCTTTTTCCCATCCCAATCTTAAATTCCCTCCCAGATCTGCAAACTCCACTCCCAATCTTAACTTCCATCAACCTTTAACGCATGCTGCCATTGATCAGAGAGAACATCAACACCGCCTCCTACACTATGAATGTTGTCTACCATGGGCATGACCGTTGGACAAAAAGCAACCATGGTCTCTCTATATTGTCAATATTTTTCTTTTTCTTCTTACTTATAAACAAGATATAGGGAAATCTTTTGCCTATGATGCCATCTGATTTCCACTGTGTAGTAGGTTAGAATTTCCCAAATTTATATTGATAAAGTCGAACAATCATAAAACTGAAAATGATAATTATGTTGGGCGGGGACTAAAACAACAGAATTTGGCAATAATTTACAGAACATGGCTTTATAAGCTCTTTATTGCAAAAGAAACAAGATAAAAATATCCATTATACTGTAGACAAACAATTGAGCTGTGAACCAAAAAAATATCTTGAACACCTTGATTGCATGCTAAATCAACCCATCCACCTTAATATCATAGCAAAAGAAATCTTCACTAGATGGTAACCTAAGAAGTATGGAGACTTCTATGGAGGAGGTGTGCTGTGTCAGACATTACACTCTGCGGACACTCCTAAAAACCGTGTCCAACACTCCTTTAACTTGTCTTAATTAAAAATGTAAATTTATAATATGAAACACTTTATAGACACTTCTCGGAATTCTGACTCTGCACTACTTTATAGACTTGTCTCCCAATAATAGTCTAATTCATAGCAACTCACACACTCTTGAGTCATAGTCCTGAATTCTGCCTCAGCACTAGATCTAGCAATCACATTTTGTTTCTTACTTCGCCAAGTGACTAGTTTCTTACTTCGCCATGTGACTAGGTTGCCTAAAACAAATGTGCAATATCCAGAAGTTGATCATCTGTCAGCGACTGATCTAGCCCAATCCACATCAATGAATGCCTCCACACTGAAATGTCCATGTTTTGAGAAATAAAGACCCTTTCCAAGAGAAGCCTTCAGGTATCTCAAGATTCTCATAACTGCCTTTAAGTGGGAATTTCTTGGAGCATGCATAAACTGGCTAACCATATTCACCGCAATGACAATGTCTGGATGTGAGTGGCATAAGTATATGAACTTACCCACTAGCCTCTGATATCTCCCCCTGTCCACTGGATCTCCCCTTTGATCCTCACTTAATGTCTGGTCCGGTTCTAGAGCTATATTATATGGTCTACCTCCAAGCATTCTAGTTTTCTTTAGCAAGTCAAGCACATACTTCTTCTGGTATATGAAAATGTCATCCTTGGACTGAGCTACTTCAATACCCAAAAAATACTTCAAATTGCTGAAAGTAAACGTTGCCATGAAGCAAAAAATTGTTTTTGAGCTAAATTATGTACATCTTTTTTTAAGATCTGGTTAGCTGCAGAACAATTAACACGAATTAAAAAATGCTAATTTAATAAATCATCCTGGAATTTAGAAACACATTTTACAATGGCTAAACATTCCTGTTTAATTGTCGGATAATTTAAAGCTGCTTGCTTCCAAGTTCCTGAAGTGAACCACAAAAGTTCTTTTTTACTGTTAGGATTATATTGTTTTAAGATACCCCACTATAACCTTGGTTAGAGGCATCTGTTTCAACAATCTTTTTCCATTCTGGATTTGGTAGAGCAAGACAAGAAAGGGTCTTGGCCTTGAGCTTAATTTTCTGGACGGCTTCGGTATGTTCTGGAGTCCCTGGCGGAGGATTTTTACGAAGTCTAGTGTAAAGAATAGCAGCATCCTGAGCTAAATTATGGTAGTAATCATGAATATAATTTTGAATCGGTAAATCGGTGAACCGAATCGGTAAATCGTAAATTGCTAAAATCAATATTTGGCTTTCTTTTTTGCTTTTTTATTGTTGGAAAAGGGTTCACACAACTTTTTTATTAAGATTACTATATGCCATCTTTTGAATTCTCCCTCCCTATTTACTCTCAAATATTCAAACCTTAGCAGAAAAAAATTAACTCTCTCTCTTTACAATATTCCAGGCTTACATATTCAATTTGATCTAAATACTTGCCTTTATAAAATGAATTTTTTGAAGACATCAGTGAGATTTTAGAAAAAAATTTGAAGATTTTGATTTTTTTATCCTTGTAAAAAGTTAAAAAAAAACATTGTTTTTGAGTTATTGTTACTTAGAAATTGAAACTTTGTCTTTATTTGCTTTCTTTTTAAGAATGGTCGATAAGAAAAAGTATCTAAAAGGGAAAATGTAAAGTGGTAAATATGAAAACCCATGTTAACTTCTTACCTAGACCACATGATCATCCTTTAAAACAATATTTTCATTAATTTAAGTCCAAGTATTTCATATTTATTAGATATATTTAATATTTAAGTGTGTAGATATATTTTTCTAAGTAATTTAAAAAAGTGACCGAATTTTTACGATTCACGATTCGATTCGATTTGCGATTCGGTACAATACCATTTCGATTCACGATTCAAATTCCGATTTGACAACTATGTATGTTATCTATATGAATATATTATTGAAAGATAAAAAAATATATATATAATATACCACTAATTTCTATAAATTTACATTAATTTTCTTTTATCCTTATATACTATGTTATTTTGTTTAAACTTATAATTTAATGTGTGTCTAATCAATCGACGTGTGCTTAAGGGATGGGCACGTGTGTTCTCCAAGTGTCTTGGTCTAATTTTTATTTTTTTTTAAATAGGAACTTTTTGACCAGTGTCAAACATGTGTTGGGGAAGTGTCTGACACGGACACGCCACCATCTTAGAAGTGGCTGCGCTTCTTAGGTCCTCACCATTTGATAGAAAGACATAGCCTAAACTACAACACGAAAAAACAAACAGGTTAACCAAGAAATGATGGGACATTGAGATTAACATCCAGTTAGATTACTATGTATATCTACAAAACTCTAGTATGCAAGGCCAAAGTTTTACTTGAAAATTTATGTACTCAACTTACATAAAACAATATAAAAGGAATGCAAAAATTCAGCCCTGTAGTGATCAAAATGCTTTATAGACACAGAAGCATTCATGTAGCTACAAATTTAGAAAGCTATATGGGATTTTCACAAAGCAACAGGAAACTCAATCTTGGTACCTAATCAAATCTGAAAAGAGAAAGCATATAAACCAGATAAACATAGAGTTAAAAGTCACACCTCAACTACATTGAATTGATTTATAACTGAGACATAGCCACACAGGCTCAATCCCGAAGGCCAAGTTCAAGCTCAAGTTCATCATCCTGTTCAAACAACTTTAAAAGACGGGCATACTGCTCTTCACGTTTTTTCTTTTGCCACAATTTGAAGAGGGAAAATGATAAAAACCCTACTGCCGCAAGCACAAGGCATATGATGATTATCTTGGACCCAGTGCCACTACTGGAAGCAGCTTGCTTATCAGCCTTTGTCCCACCTTTGGAACTCGATGAATCATTTGACAAGCCTGAAAAGACTAAACATGTGACAGAGTGCTACCAGTACAAAAGAATATAACTCCAATAATAATAAAAGTATCTTCTCTCAATCCAAGTGAAATAAATTTTCCTGTTGGCGTTTATTATCTTCGAACAGAGGTCTGCATTAGGATGTTAAATATTGCTTAAAAAGAAACCCAAGAAGTAGTACAACTTAAACCAAAAGCAATTCACAATAACGATTATCATTTGACCAAACTGCACACTTGAAATTAAAATTACCGCATGACATCTGATAATAAACTCAATTTTATCAAACATTGTCAACCAATTCAATGTTTGCAAAATGAATGCTTATATCATGATTATATTGCATTTAATTTAATAAGCCAAACACCTTTAGCGAGTAAGTGAATCTTTCATAAGAATAAAATGAAAATGTTTGAAACATTTCTAGAGATCATTCCCGGGAATACCAATCAATCAACTATTATGGCCAAGTGAAGCGAGAAAGACCTTGAGACATATACTTCCAAGGAGATCAAGAATTTCTCCGAAAAACCTCAAAAGAGTCCCAAATATTGTCTTGAATCTCAAACTTACTTTTGATAACATAATGCCATAAAGAATTATGCTTAGTGGGAAATCTCCATAATCGTTTTCCAAGCAAGGCAATTTTCTTAGCAACAATATTACCCACTTCTAAACGCCATTTATTCTTTGATAAAGCCACCACATTTCCCAACAAACCAAATATTAATTTTCTCCCATCACCACTACTTTCCCACAAAAAATTACTCATCATCTTTTCAATCTTATTTTCCCCATACACAGGACAAAACAAAGATAAATGAACACTAGACAAGATAGACTGAACCAAAGTAAGTCTCCCACAACATCAATGCCCTGTTTCAACTCGCCAATCTCTTGCCGATTTTCTCAATTACAAGAATCCAAAAATCCTCAAATCTAGTATTACCCCCACAAAGGAAGCCTTAAATACTTCAAGGGCAAAGACTCAATGGGAAAACCTAGTAATCCAGCCACTCTTTGGAAAATTAATTTCAACAATAGAACTTATACTCATATTCACCCTAAGCAATGAAACCAAAGTGTAACTATGTCAGAACTGCGGGACTTGAGAGGTTGAGAGGTCAGTGTAATTTACCCTTTATAAATTGAAAGATTTTGAATTAGTTAATTTGAAATAAATAATTCCATTTGCACAACCAAACGGGCCCCAAGTAAAGTTTCACATAAAGAATTTCAATTTCACACAAATAAAGTAATGATCAAATTGAAATTACTAACCATCATGGAACAAAGGTTGTTCTTCAGAAATTGTTTCATAAAAAAATTAAAATTTACAAGAAAAAATGATATACAATACAATTATATGGCTTAAAATTTACCAGAAACCAAATACAACTAACATTTAATTGTAACATAGGATATATTAGAGCAATCTACAGTTTCCCCAAAAGAAAATCAACTTCATTCAAGAAATGAACAGTCGCATACAAATTGATACTCTATGAAGAACATCGAAAGGGATTTATAGAATTCATCATGCATATATGCAATTTATATGTGCATATACGAAAGTTGAGTAGAGATCTGAGAGACGAACCGGCAATGAATTGAAGAGAAATTGAGGAGAAGAATAGCAGGAAGCGGATCGATCTCCCTCTTGAGATCTCAGTCATCGCTCTCTAGTTTCTCTCTCTAGATCAATTCTCCCTCTCCCTCTCCCTCTCTCTCCCTCTCTCTCAGTATTGGGTCCTTTCTTCTGCAAAAGATTACTCCACCGTCGTCGATAATAAAATTGAAGTACCCGTGTTTCGACCAACCACTCGTTTGTGAAGGATATATTTTAATTAAAAAATTAAATAAATTATTATAAATTATCATATTATTCTTTATTTTTTTTAATAAAAAATATTAGAGGTCCCAAAAATTCTACCAAAAGTTTTACCAAATGTCTCACATGGATCCCACATTGTGTAGGTCCCACAACACTCATGTGAGACAATTGGTAAAAATTTTGGTAGAATATTTGGAGTCTCTAGCATTGCTCAATAAAAATTATTAAAACAACATATTTTTTTAATGAGACTTAATACTTATTTTATAATATTTAATTAGTGGGCGTGTGCACACCGAGTGTGCTGTTAAATTGTAGAGGGTTTAGTTTCGCACTTGTCATATCAATTTGAGTTGGATTTAGCCTCCGTTTGGGAAGCGGGTTGACTTTTTGGCTTTTTGACTTTTTTGGCTATTTTAGCCTGGGCTAAAAAGCTTGGTTTGGGAAGGGCTTTTTGGCTTTTTGGCTTTTTTGACTTTTTTTGTGAGAGAAGAATGTAATGATTATAGGTTGGATGTGATGTTTTGTTTGTTATGGCTAAAATAACCTATTTTGTTTTTTATGACTAAAATAGCCAAAAAAACCTGAAAAAGCCCTCGCCAAACGGAGGCTAAGTAGATTTATTTTGGAATTGGTTTTAGTGATTTGGATAGTTTATTTTTAAAATTTGTTTATGAGAATATGTATATAAAAAAAATTAAAAAAATTGGATATTAATAATTATGTATTTGAATTATATTTATTTTTTAAAAAAATAGACGATAAATATAATTTTAAGAATAGTTTTTTATTTTTTGTAATACAAATTTAATTCAAATATATAATTATCAATATTCGATCATCTTAATTTTTTATATAAATATTTTCTTTAACTATAAATCAAGTATAACTTAGCGGGTAAAATTTCAGATCATACCTTATGTGATAGAATCTGAACATCTTGTGGGTAAATCACGTGCCTAAAAAATACGAACAATGAATACCCAGTAGTGGAGTGATACCACAATATGAGTATCATCCACACAAGTCACAGTGCAAAAGGCTTGATCATTATTTTAATGGGAGAGAGTCAGTATGGGAAAAATCATTCGTTATTTGATTCATCCCATATCCCATATAACGTATCATATATATAGGCTAAGTATATCATCTATCCATATCAGTTGATATGAAAGATATAGATATCAAGAGTAGGTTATCCAAATAGGTTTTCAATTCAAATTCAAACTTTCATGGATAAGGTTCAAAAGGGTCATGCCACATGCCACATGGGTGCCCAATTTCTAACATCTCCCACTCGCACATGAGTTGGCATGACACTGCCACATCTCTATCTCAATCTCCCCTCAAAAAATGAACAACCTCATACTAGCCAATGAACCGTGCGATCGTTGAGAATAGCTATATACTAGAAACTCAATATGAATCAGCATAAAGACATTAAGCCAAAATGAACAGAAATAGTGTCTCATGTACCCAGACCCATCTAGCTACATCGGTCTAAAAACATCTTTAATCCCTTAAAGAGCATGTTTGACCCTCCTAAGTCCCGTATTATATTCACACCTAATCAACATCCCATAGAGAGCGATGTGAGTTGTTGACAGTGAATATAGAGCAGAGATATAGAACTAGATGATCTTCCTTTCAACCTCATATCATTTAATTCGAAATTGACCGATTTCTCAGTAATGTCCCTTAAAGTCGAATCATACATGATCGCAGGCAACATACCAAAGTAGCTGAACATGAACTCCTTATCTTATGACATAGCTAAAGGTCACAAAAGGCACAAAGTGAAGTCATTTAGGAAAAAATGACTTTTAGGACTCACACGGTGAAGAAGCAGAGATCCATTCTCTCATATCGCTAACGGGTCAATAAGCACATGCAGTACGAATGCATGTTATAGTGGAGTAACTCTTCCAAAGAGTGATGTTAAACTCACACACCATACAGATTTTAGTCTAGTCGCTCTTAAGCGCACAAGTTGTTTCCTAGCGTCTAACTCGAATTCTCTATTTGCTTGCCTCTCAGGCATCAAATGAGATCTCGCATCTGACTATCCATAACAGGCACATCATGGAAAAGTGGGTACTTTCATATCCATGGTCGATCTCTAACAAGACCTCATCTTGGCTCCAATCAAGGCGACATAGCTAGTGGATAATTTTAGTTTCTCTATTGGCTCCAAATACAACAAGTCACTAGTCTCATCCTTGCTTGCTACCTAGCGCTAAAGGGCAATTGCTTGTGTGAGTGAGCCAATCTTGCCTGCTAACATCAATTTATTTATTCTGTGTATGCTAATTCACAAACCATTGCAAAAAGTAGTAAACATAAATGTGTAATAGAAACAAATATGAATACTAATGGCATAAATATCTCAAAAAATATGAGTTCAACTGAATACACATATATATCACCACCTACGTACTCCTAAAGCCTTAATATGAGTAAGATAAATATCTCTAGCAATGGGCTTAGTCAAAGGGTCCGCAACCATGCAACTCGTAGGGATGTGCTCCAGGATCACTTCTTTCTGCGCCACAATGTCTCTGATAAAGTTGAACCTCACATCAATGTGTTTGGTTCTCCTATGGTATTTAGGATCCTTAGCGTAAGCGAGTGCAGCCATGCTGTCACAATGAATAGTCACAGGGTCTAAAGTGTGTGTGACAATATCCAAATGCTGAAGGAATCTCCTCAACCAAACAGCTTCCTGAACGGAAGATGAACAAGCCACAAACTCAGCCTCCATAGTTGATAAGGCGATACAAGATTGCTTCTTACTGCTCCAAGAAATAGCACCATCGCTAAGCATGAAAGCATATCCTGAAGTAGACTTACGCTCATCTAAGTCTCCTCCCTCGTCAGCATCACAATAGCCAACTAGACGTAGACCTGAACTTTGGAAGCAAAGTGTGTAATCTGCAGTCCCTCTAAGATACCGTAATATCTTCTTAACTGCTTTCCAATGAGCTGGTCCTAGGTTGGATTGGTAACGACTCACTAATCCGACTGTATAACAAATGTCAGGGCGTGTACACATCATAGCATATATCAAGCTTCCAACAGTATTTGAGTACGGAACAGGGGCCATCTTTTCGTTCTCTTCTAGAGTCTTAGGACCCATATCAAGGCTTAGGCTCTCGCCCTTCGCAACAGGAGTGTTAATGGGTTTGCAGCTCTGCATTTGGAATTACTCTAGGATAGTCTTAATGTAAGTCTCTTGAGACAAACCAAGAAGTCTCCTAGAGTGATCCCTAAGGATCTTAACACCGAGCACATAGCTCGCCTCACCCATGTCCTTCATTTCAAATGTAGAGAACAACCACATTTTAGTGGCGACAATCATCTCCTTGTCATTTCCAGCCAATAATATGTCATCTACATATAATGACAATATTAGAAAAATGTCCTTGGATCGCTTAACGTACAAACTGAGATCTTTATCGATCATCGTAAACCCATTAGAAACAATGGTTCAATGAAATCTCAGATTCCACTGTCTGGATGATTGCTTTAAGCCATAAATAGATCGTTGAAGCTTGCAAACTTTGCGCTCCTGACCTACTGCCACAAAGCCCTCTGGTTGATCCATATAGATCTCTTCATCCAATTCTCCATTGAGAAATGCAGTTTTAACGTCCATCTGATATAGCTCTAAGTCCAACTGAGCTACTATGGCCAGGATTAGGCGAATAGAGGCAAACCTTACAACTGGTGAAAAAGTTTCCTCATAATCCACACCCTCTCGTTGGGTACCTTTTGCCACTAGGCGAGCCTTATACCTTTCTATGGAACCATCCAAAAATGTCCTTGGACCGCTTAACGTACACACAGTGATCTGCTTCACCCATGTCTTTTATCTTTGAAACAATGGCTCGATGAAATCTCAGATTCCACTGTCTGGATGATTGCTTTAAGCCATAAATAGATCGTTGAAGCTTGCAAACTTTGCGCTCCTGACCTACTACCACAAAGCCTTTTGGTTGATCCATATATATCTCTTCATCCAATTCTCTATTGAGAAATGCAGTCTTAACGTCCATCTGATATAGCTCTAAGTCCAACTGAACTACTATGGCCATAATTAGGCGAATAGAGGCAAACCTCACAACTGGTGAAAAAGTTTCCTCATAGTCCACACCCTCTCGTTGGGTGTAACCTTTCGCCACTAGACGAGCCTTATACCTTTCTATGGAACCATCCATCTTGCGCTTGATTTTGAGAACCCATTTGTTCCCAACAGTCTTGCGCCATGGCGGCAAATCAACCAAGTCCCAGACATGATTTTTCTTCATAGACTCTATTTCTTCATCTATTGCAGCACTCTATTCTTTACTAGCAGGGGATGAAAGAGCCTCTTTGAGATTCTTAGGCTCCATCTCATCACTCGGAGCAATCATGAATGCTTCCCTTTCAATCTCAAAACGACGACGGGGTATAGCTCCATGTTTGCTTTTACGCAGTTGAGAATCTTGAGAATCCTCATCCATTGGATCTAAGCCATGGGCAGGTAGATTGCTTCCACTGTCCCTAGGAGCTTAAGGGATTATCTCCTTATTCTCTACTAGGCTACTAGGTGCGCCTTCAAGTAGATCCTCCATCTCATAGAGTTCTACATCTCTAGTTACCTCACCTATGCTAGGGAAATCCTCCTCTAGGAAATCCACATCTCGTGACTTAATTTCAGTCACACTTCCATCCGGATGCTCCCCAATAAACACATGGCCCTTAGAATGCTCACTATAACGAATGAAGATACACTTCTTTCCTCTAGGGTTCAATTTCCCAAACTTATGAGAAGTGTTGTGTATGTAAGCTACCGAACCCCAAGGCCACAAATTGCCCAAATCAGGCATTTTGCCAGTCCACATCTCATATGGGGTGGAAGGAACCGATTTAGAGGGCGCATGATTAAGAATGTAGGCAGCAATCAACAAAATATCTCCCC